CCTCAACTGTAAGATAACTCTGAAAGAAAACAAGCTAACCTCAGTTGTAAGATAACTCTGAAAGAAAACAAACTAACCTCAGTTGTAAGATAACTCTGAAAGAAAACAAGCTAACCTCAGTTGTAAGATAACTCTGAAAGAAAACAAACTAACCCCAGTTGTAAGATAACTCTGAAAGAAAACAAGCTAACCTCAGTTGTAAGATAACTCTGAAAAAAAAAAAACTAACCTCAATTGTAAGATAACTCTGAAAGAAAAAAAGCTAAACTCAGTTGTAAGATAACTATGAAAGAAAACAAGCCAACCTCAGTTGTTAGATAACTCTGAAAGAAAACAAGCTAACTTCAGTAGTAAGATAACTCTGAAAGAAAAGCTAACCTCAGTTGTAAGAAAACTCCGAAAGAAAACAAACTAACCTCAGTTATAAGATAACTCTAAAAGAAAACAAACTAACCTGTTATAAGATAAAACTCTGAGGTGTTATTTGATATATCAGTTCAGAGGGGTTTATCTCTTGCGAAACAAACATTTCCTTCCCCTAAAGAGAATAAGATAAGTATTCGATCAGGTACCATAAAATCTTCTGAAAAACAACATTTCTGATTCCCAGTCATTGTTTTTAACAGTCCTCTGAATCACATCACTGCATCACAAATCCACACGTTTTTTTAACGTTATCTCCGATTCCTAATACTAAACGCTTATGCTATAGACAAGTTTATTTGTAATTTCTATCAGTTGTTCTTATATAATATATAAACCAGATGCCAAGAATGTGTTGTTAAAATGAAGTAGAGTGCATTATAACAATTAAATTATCACCAAGAAAACAATTTACTCAGTCTAGAGTTATTCTTAGTAGAGAATTTCTATAGAATTTCTATGGCGTATAGTTGAAATTACATTACTCGTAATTGCTAAATTTCTCAGTGATGTTAAGTCGGAATCAGTCATGACAAAAAAAAAAGAATACATGTACATATCTATACCATATAAGGGAACTGATTCCCGATTCCTTTCTTAAGGAAAGACGAGTCCAACGTCGGAATATCCATTTTGAAAAGCACTATATCAGTTTGGAAAGCAATTATTTTGACAACATTTTATCAATTTATTGATCAATTGTTTTATGTTTAAATGTAAAACAAGCCTACCTTGAAATGAAATAATATAAGTATCCGTATTCGTCTAATTTCAAATGAGATGATAATTGAAAGTGAATCATATTATATTATATATGACTTGATAGATGAATAATGATAAAGTGAACGTGATAAAATGTCAGATTTCAACTTTAAATCTATACAATAGAGTCTAGATTTCTCTTGTTTCACATCTTGTAGCTATATACAGTTGATTAAAGAGACAGATGCGCCATTTTTTTTTACCAATTGTACCTTAGTCTCAGAAAAGGGATTTGTTGTAAACTATGCCGAGTCGTCTTTTCTTGAGACACTGCCATATATAGAGAAATAATCTATAGAAACAGCGGTTATCGTACATTTCTAGTACTCCTGAAGACTAAAATCACGGTTCCTCTCAACGTTATTTCTTGGAATAAAGTTCAGTTTATCCCAGAGTTATATCTTTTAACAAAGGTTGGTTTGTTTCTCTCAGAGTTATATCTTATAACTAAGGTTTACGTCCGAGGGGCGTGGGGGCGAAATACCTGAGGTCGCCCGAATTTGTGTCGTCACATACCGTAGGCCTATAAATGAATTAAAACTAACATATTGTCTATAAATGACCTATATCATGTATTTAATCTGTTGGCCTACTGTTACAAACAACGGCCTATCGTCTACGTTTGGGGACCTGCAACAGATTAAGCTTTACGGAAACTGCCGAGGATTACCGAATGCTTCTTTTACAGAAAGTATTACCGAATGCTTCTTTTACAGAAAGTCTTATTTAAAGGCTTAGTGACACGAAAATGTCGGGTGATGGAAATATAATTATATTCATAATCTAATGCATTGGAAATGAAATGAATGGAGTTTTACGTCCTACTTTTCTGCACTATGTGTGTTAACGAAGACGGGTCCAATTAAATAGAGTCCGAACTATAGCAATAACAACTCACCGAAAGTAAAAATGCTATTTATTGCATCGATGATTGCACCAGCCAAAATAAATGCTTCTTTAATGACATGAAACATAATGTTTTGCCAAGGGAAATATCAAATTTTCTGTCGGTATTCGAAAATTCGAAAATCTCCTACATGTATGTGTAAAATAGTAGCCTACCTATTGACAAAATAGATAATAATGTTATAATATTCAACAATTGATATCAACTGCAACTTGGCCTCACTGATAAACTTGTAGATTTAATACTAATTACTTTACATCATATCCTGATAATTACAATAGATTATATAATCATCAATGATCAGATACCGACAGAAAACTTGATATTTCCCTTGGCAAAACATTATGTTTCATGTCATTAAAGAAGCATTCAGTTTCGTTGGTCCAATCATCGATGCAATAAATGGCTTTTAAAATGAAATGAAACAAGCGAAACTTGTAGAAAAATGAAAAAAGAAAAGTAATAATCAGTCAAAAATATTGTTTTCATCAACGAGTTACTTTATGTAGCTTAACAAGCGTTTAGACAGGGTTAAAAAAGTTGACCTGACTCGTAATAAATCACGAATAGGAATTTTAGGTTGTAACATTGCGGTTAAATAATGTTACGAAAGCACAGACACAGGCATGCAGGCTTAACCTCTAGTGAGAGAATATTGGTGATATTGTTTAAGCATATTGCAGATTGGATAGCAGACTTCACACGAGTACAAAAATGTTGTGTGTCGAGCCTTTCAAATACTGGGGGATGATATTAATGGAAAAATTATTTCGAATTTCGGTGTATCAAAAAATGTTTTCGAATTTCGGTGTATTGTATCAAAATCAAAATATTATTTTAAGATTATTATATTTATAAGCCTTCTGTTATAAGTAGAGTAGACCAACGGATATTGCATATTTCATCATTAATAAATTTCTTCTGATATTTTTATCATCAAAGATCGCCAAAATGATTAATACACGAGTGTGAATGTCTTTTAACAGATCATTATATTCAGTTGCACGGTGTTTGGCAGCAAATAAAAACGTTAGTGAATTCAACGTATTTATTGTAAATTCTTATCACTTGATAACAGCCGAGCTAAAATATTATACAAAACGCATGTTTTTCTCCCAATGACCTACACCACAATTATTATTGGCAGACGATACAATGAAACCTAACCGATAATAGCAGAAACAAGATACATCCCGTGGTATATCAGTATTTTACTGTTATATACTTAATTTTACTGTGATATACCCTCTGTAATGCTCTATAAAGATTATCTACATTTCCTTTCTAAATATCAAAGCTCACTTACCTAGAAAGTAGGAAATATACGTTAATATCGCCTATTTCAGGTATTCCACGTATAACAGATGTACGCCGTAGATTTCTCTTTGATATTGATTATCTCTGTATGACTAGTCTGTCTATTTTTAGTAACAGTACCAGTCTATAGTATTTTCCTGCAAATAGTCTCGAATATTCCAGACTTTGGGGCGATTTTTTTCATTCAATAAGCTTAATAATATGTTCTATTGAATAGCTGTAGGTATTAATTATCCAATTTCGAATTCAAAGTTTAAATCTCGGCATATCGAGCGACATTAGGCCTATGTAGGCCTGTTCTAAAAAAAATACCACCCGATATTGATTTAGGAAAAATGTGTCTTCTGATTCTATTAGGAATAATTAAATTCATTAATGAATAAAAATAAAATGTTCTTGTCTGCCACACATCAGAAAATATTCAAGTGAATTGTAATGCAGCCATTTCATCAAATAACCGAAGTAGCCGATACAAATTTTTCGTAGTCTGGCAGATTGTCTCTATAGCGAGTTACCTCCCATTCAAAATAATTTCAATAAAGATCTATTTGTGGTCCGAGTTTATTGAATGATTACCCCCCTTTGAATGAGAACACTCTAAACCAATCGAAATGCGCAATTTCGAATGGAGGCGATTTGAATCGTTTAGAAAATTTCTCTGAACTGTTTGTTTACGTTTTTGATGAAAATTGAATGAAGTTTCTTTAGTAAGATTATGAACTAAGTTAAATAAGGTTTGTATCAATACGTTTAACTGAATGAAATGTCTCTCACCAAAGGAATCACTGTCGTGTCAAAACTCTTGCTTGATTGGCAAATTCTTTGGTAGGCCTAACCTTACCAAAAAAGGTTTGACGATTTTTATGAATAAGTACTTTTTAAAAATATCCCAAATTTTGGCTTTCAGTTTCTTTTCAAACTATGAACAAGACAGGCCTCTTTTTCACAGTCACTTCTGAGTTCTGTTTACCTATGCCATGCACAATCAAAAAAAAAATTAAAAATCAAAATATTTTACTAGATCTAGTATCAATATGGGGTTTAGCCTAACCTAGTGACTTGTTCACAGTTTGGTGCAAGGTACAGTCAGTTTGGTGCAAGGTACTGGTGAAAAGTTGAACAAGGTCCAGCTGCCTTTCTTTACCAAAATTTTTCTGCATTTATGGGAGTTTACAGTCTTGATGTGCTTAATGACCCCTTGGCAGGAATTATCACCTTGTTTATTGAATTTTTGGACTTCTCAAACAGAAGTGACAACGAAAAAGCAAAAACAGCCCTGACCAGTTCAACACAGCTAAATATCTGTTACTTTTTATCAAGGCATTTTAAGATTCAAAACTGAAAGTAGAATTTACTTTTTTAAGGCTATTGTTCATATTGTCATACAACTAATAGGTAGAATTTGATCTAAGCCAAATGCCAAGACACTGTACTGAGGTATTATAACAACATACTAGTAAGCTTACTCATTTGACTTGAAATCATTGATATGACTTATCTTCCTTTCCAGATCATGACATTATCAGCAGCAAGTACAGGTAAAACACCTGGACGTGTGCGTCTACAAGACCAAGATGATAAATCAACATCCAGTAATGTTAAAGTTGTAGTAAGAATTCGACCAGAAAATAAAAGTGAACATGATGGATCATCTAGAATTGTGGTCAAGACAATGAATGAACATGTTCTGGCTTTTGATCCTTCAGAGGAACATCTTCATACACCTGGTTATAAGAAATCATTTACAAGAGATATAAGAAAGAAAGCTAGAAAAGATTTGAAGTTTGCCTTTGACTATGTGTTTGGTCCACATACATCCAATCAAACTGTTTATGAGCATACAACTAAAACTATTTTAGATGGCTTTTTGAATGGCTACAATTGCTCAGGTAATCTTAAGCTTAGGTTTTAAACGTATGAAAACTGTTGATCAATGGATTAAGCTCCTTAGTCTTCTAATAATTTGCATTATCAGGTGACAGAGCTCAATCTTGTGACGCAGTGCTTATCAGGTTAGGTCAAAAGGTTAATTTGTAGAACGTTCACGAAGACTGTTGTTAGATCCGAACTGAAGTGGATATTAAAAAAAAGAGCAAAAAAAAACAGAACAAAAATTTTATATAATTTAAATTAGACTGTTAAAAAATCTTATGAAAACTTTGCTAAAGGGTGGAATTTCACAATGATGAATATTTTTATAAGACTTGCAAAGGAAATTTACTTAAAAGACCCCAATTTCTCCAAATATTTTACCATAAATTAATCCTTGCACATATTAGCAGAAGATATCTTGATTTGCATATAAGCTTATAAATATATAGTAGTATAATCTTACAGAGGCTAGGGTCCCATTTATTTCTGTTATATTTCAGTGTTTGCCTATGGTGCAACTGGAGCTGGTAAAACTCATACTATGTTAGGTAGTGCTGATAGACCTGGTGTTATGTTTTTAACTATGATAGATCTATATGATAGAATAGAAGCTCTCAAAGAGGAAAAATCTATTGAAGTAGCTGTTTCATATTTAGAGGTAAATTTGTCTTACCTTGATATCTTTAATTGCTAGTTTGTAATAGCTTAAAGAGATTGTAAAGAGATTTTCTAATTGTTTTATGTGTATCGGGTTGTACCATTCCAATTTTCATTCCGATGTCTGTGGTTCTTGCAATTCCACTAAAACTAACGCATTTTATGACCTTACTAGAGGGGGAACTGCATAGATATCAATAGTAGCTCACCTTTAGTGCAGAATGAAAATTGGAATGGTGCACATTGAAGCTTTTAGCGTCCCCGATACACATACAAAATTTAGAAAGCTCTTTACAAGCCCTTTAAGCTTAAGTTTATATAAGATATAGTATTAGAAATGGAATTATAATCTATTTATTTGGAATAAAGTGGGAAAGTACAGTAGGCAATGGACATATAAAGTCATAGCTGCTCGAAGACAATCATAAAGTTTTCACGACTTCTCTTTCCTTTGTTGTTACCTGATTTGTTGGTACCAGGTACGGTAATCTTATATAATTCACCATTTAAATAGTAAAAGTTTTTTTGCAGTGTTAGTTATAGACATTAAAATGCTGACTGTTAGGCAGAAAAATACAATTTGATAATTCATTTTTTTTTTTTTTTCAATATCATAAGCTTATGGATATTATGAACTATTTATCTTACATGAGATAATTTGCGTCATTATTTTATCTACGTTGATGATTGTATGTTATAGGTGTATAATGAACAAATTAAAGATCTATTATTACCAAAAGGTATGTTACCAATCAGAGAAGACACTAATGGTGTGATTGTATCAGGACTCTCTTTACATAAGGTAAATCATGTCGAATTATCTGTTCTTCTATATGTCATTTTTCATGTTAAAGATCTCTTGAGAGCTACTGCTACTTTGGCAAAATTTCACTTATTGCACACTGCATGGTGTTCCTTATGTTTATTCTGTCAGATGGGAGGATGCAAATTGGCAGGATATGAATTTTTTACTGCACATTTGCTTAAGCTTATATCTGGGTACAAAGGTTACTTATTTTTCACAACTTAATTCATGTTCCCCTATCAATATTGATCTTTATTTCAGCCTAAAACAGCTGAAGAATTATTATATATGTTACAATATGGTAATGAAAATAGATCTCAACATCCAACTGATGCTAATGCTGAATCTTCTAGATCACATGCTGTCTTTCAGGTAAACTATCATGATACTGAATTCTAACCAGTTTGAAATACTTGGTTTTCAGTTAATTTAGGTTAAAATTCTTTTTTTTTTTGCATACTAAATGATGCAATCAAAAGTCATAATGGTGCAGATATTAAATTCCATTACATATACTTCTTAAAGCTCCCCTTTGTTTCTGAATTGCAAGAGCGAAACAATCGATTATCGTCGCTAGTTTGTCATCGATAATCAATCACAATTTGGTAATCGATACCCAGCCCTACATATAACTGCCTGATTATTGCAATGGTGCAAATCAATACTTTTAGTTTCACCTGTACACATAAAAAGTTCAAACTCCTTTCCAATTCCATTAAGATATTGATATAAATTTCATATGAAATCATTATAAATGCAATAAAAGACAATAGTCAAATAGTGGATATAGATATACTTTTCTTTTTTTCTTCAATATTGCTCAAATTAGATGTATAATATAATTGTAGGTATATGTAAGACAGAAAGATAGAACAGCTAATGTATCAGCTGAAGTAAAAGTAGCTAAGATGTGTTTGGTTGATTTAGCAGGATCAGAAAGAGCTACAGCTACAGCTAATCGTGGAGTTAGATTTCGTGAAGGAGCCAACATAAACCGATCCTTATTGGCTTTAGGCAATGTTATTAATGCTTTAGCAGAAAATAAGGTTTGTCTTTCTACTTGTAAAAACATTATGGTAGTGATTAATGAGTCCGTTGTTTATATGCCCATTCCATAACCAGGGATCTGCTTTATTTTTGAATAATTCCACTAAAAATGAAAAATATTTCTATATAGGAAATAGCTTCCAAAGTATCTTAAAATAGTAAAATCTCCATTATCTTGTACCCTACATTGGAGCCTGGGTCACCCCTTGACCTCAGCTGATTATTTCCATTTCCTCTATTATTTTTTTTCCTTTTTTCCCTGCATAACAATATTGGTTGTCTGGCATGGTGGCAAATTGAACTTATCAGACATTTTTCCTCTACTTTTCTTCATTTTGATAAAAATCAATTTGTTTATAGCAAGATGTTGAATGACAGTAGATAATGACAAATATTTTTTTTGTGTTTCTATGTTTCAGTTCTTTTTTTTTTGGGTACTATAAACCTTTTTTTAGAATTTTTTCAAATTCTAATAAAATCTTCAATCGTTTTATTCTCTTTCTAGAGTAAAGGTCATATACCATATCGTGATAGTAAATTAACAAGGTTATTAAAAGATTCACTAGGTGGTAATTGTAGAACTGTTATGATAGCTGCTGTTAGGTAAGTCTTAATATTCAGTCTGATACTAATTAGTAATTATTATCCAATCAGATTACTTTGTTTCTTAAAATCTAGATTTTTACCTTACTTTAGTTTTCAAAAAAAGTCTCCTGATTGTTGGAATTGCAATTCAAATTTAATTTTTTTTTCTGTATAGTATAGTCTTAAACTCTTATGCAGTGACAGTCCCCATATTAGACAAAAACTTGATGAATTGTAAATTTGTCTGCATCAAGAAATGTATATTTTTGTTATTTTCTGTGTTTTAGTCCTTCAAGTAAAACATATGATGATACATATAACACTCTAAAATATGCTGATAGAGCTAAAAATATTAAAGCAACAGTAAGTAAATCCTGCCATGATACAATAAGTTTTGCGATACAAGTGATATGGTGTAATTGGAAAAAATTAAACACTTTATCTTAAAAGTTTCGATATTATATTAATTTATAACTTTAGTTGATATTGACCTCTGTTAGTTAAAAAGCAAAGTGAAAAAACATCTATTTAGAGCTCAGAGGATATCTAATCAAGCAAGAGATCTACGTCAAATTTTGTTGGAACTAATTTACTTAAGGCTATATGTGATATTTATTTCAGTTAAAGAAGAATATTTTGAATGTAGATTTCCATATAAGTAGATATGGTCAAATTGTTGAAGATTTGAGAAAAGAGGTAAGTGACAGTAAAAATCCATCTGGTCTTTAAACGTTCATGCATTTAACACTAGCAGCGGTTCTACAGCCGACATGATTATACCTGAGCAACCAGTCCTTACTAATTGGTGTCATATAACTTTGATGTCATACTAGTACCCTTTAAGCTGTAATTACTTGGATCTCAGGGTATATGAGGTTTTATTTTATTCACAGTTTGAGAAATATTTTTGAATAGATTTAAATGAAAAGTTTTATTTTTAAACTTAATGTTCTGTAAATTTTATTGTAGATTATAGAATTAAAAGGCAAACTAACAGATTATGAAGAAGGTAAAATATTATCTGGTGGAGCATCAAAACATTCTCAACATCAAGAAATTACAAGGTAGACACATATTTATTTTGTATTAGATAGTGATATAGTCTTATAAAAACAGTATGATATATAGATCAAGCTCAATTTTGTTTCATATTTTTAACATTTTGTTTAATGGGAACTTAATTCATTTTACCAATTTACTGGGAATATTTTGAAATATTTATTTCATGGTTATATTGAACCGTTTGAAATACAGGTAATAGTGAAAAAAAATGTGAAAATCTGACTGCTTTTGAATTTTTTTTTAAACATATGAAGATGATAAAACAAGGATTTTTTCTTATGTACTGAAAAATTTAAATTCACAAAAAAAACAAAAACCCAATGAGAGAGATGATTTAGTCAAATTTCCTGTTTTGATGAATCCAGTATGCATTCGTATTGAAGATTGTACAGTGTACTCTGAATTCCTACATCCGAGTACCAAAACTCTTGTCAATTCAATTCGACATATTTTTTTGGTCTTGCTGAATTAAGTACCTGTATTTGATTATATTTATTTGTAGATTACAAGATGTATTACACAATGTATTTAGCAGTAGATCTGGTATAAGAAAAGATATACTAGATCAAGAAAGTTGTAAAAGAGATATATTATGGAAGATCTATAAAAAAGAAAAGATCAAATCTAGATTGGATATTTTAGAACCTCAAAATACCCAGGTATAGTCAAATTTATACTTAATATTTGCAATTGATGACCTTACCTGTTCTTGATAGCAGAATCGGTAAGGGTGTTGAAAACGTTTTAGATATTGTCATGTGCTTGATTATTTCAAACTAATGGTGGTCGTTGGTTCTAATTTTGATTGACATGTGAAAGTCTGGTCTTCATCATTCCTGTCAAGCCAGCTGTAAATGGGTAGGGATAATCCAGGTAAGATTCAATGCCAAGGATCGTTAAAAACCTGAGTTGTTATACCGTTATTTGTAAAAAGTCATTATCACCTGCATTTTTAAATTTTTAATAAATTGTGATCAATTATAACTACACCTGAAATGTAATGTTCTTATTTTTTAGATAATTGAACTGGATGTCAGATTTGCATTCTAAAAGGTGATACAGTCAGCTTTAAATTAAAGTAGACAGCTACACCTCTTTACTGTAATCACATTATGATGTAATTTCGATATATTTTAGGTAACAGACAAATTAACACGAACAGTTCATAAGAATCAGAATAAATTAGATCGTGTGTTAAAACAGATAGATATAGCTAATAATAAATATCTAGAAAATACTGACTGGTTAGATAGAGTTCAAACAGAGATGAAACTTGCTGGTGGAGATTCCAAAATAATGCCAGAGGTAAAGTCAACATGATTGTAATTCTTTCTGAACCTGATTTATGAACCTGGAAACAGTACTGTTGTGTGATAAATTGAGGTATCGAGCTACCTGTGAAGTGGCTTTTACGAGTTGACAGTATAAAGAGCTATAGAGATCCATTTAAATTTTAACTAGTAACTCTTGTATATTATTACTCTCTATTATATTTAAGATTGTTTTTAAATATGTTTCATCTTGATGTTTTATTTTTTTGTAGCTATTAGAAATAAGTTTGAGAATGCATAATTTAGAAATAGAATTAGGTGATGCTCGACATCATTGTAAACATTTAAAGAAATTAGTTAAACATCAAGAAAAAGAGACAGAAACTAATGACAGGTAACGATGTTTAAAAGCGTTTTTTTTCACAGAACAATTTCTTTTTCACTCGGCAAATCAATCTGGTCCTTCATGAAACCCTTTCTTTTTGAAAGAAATAACCCCATTTGAATGGAACTATGATAGATAAATGGTAAGATTACAATAGATGAGAAGATGATAAATATAAGAACAAAAGTGTTATCTAATATTAATAAGATCGCAGTATAGATCTTTACTCCAAGATTTCAACACATATTTTTTATTATATTTCAGATTGATATCATTATTATTGAAAACAGTGAAGAAACAATATTTATTATTAAAAGGCCATAATATCATTACACCAGATATATTGAATGAGTATAATCAAATTAAAGAGGAGGTGGACCCACCTGAAGTACAGTGGGCTGATGAAACTATACAATCAGATAATACTGTAGAGAAATTTAATATTGCTGATATCTTTAATTTACCTGTTGTTAACAGTCTCTCTTTAAAAGGTATTTCAACTCTTTTAACTCTGGTCATATAAACAATATGGGCCTGAAAAGCCAAAATTAGGGCCCGGCCTATATCCTGCCGTCAGTGTACTGAACTATGGGAACCTTGTGCATCATGGGAGTTGATTTTGTGTTAGATGGTGATGAGAACATAGTCTCTTAAAGGCACTGGCTAAGGTCACAAAGTAAAGATTCTCCTTCTGTACCTTGCATGGTTACGGAAAGCAAATGGCGGCTGTAGGTTCAATTCTCGATCGGCGTGTGATGGTTCGATGATCTTGAATAAGTCATCTTCACTCAAAATTCCAGTTGACACAGCTGTAAATGGGTAAGGATAATCCGGGAAAGATCAATGTCAGCAGGTTTGGCCAAGGACCAGCTGGTAGAAAGGATCCTTAACTGGAACCTAATTTGCTATCCTTGTAATATATAATTTAATAAATAACTAATGATAAACCCTATAATATAAAATCTTTTAAGGCAATCAATGCCATGGTGACAATACCTCAGGACCATTCAGACAAAGGATTAGATGGAATGGCAGACCAGTTAATGTGAACCCCTGTCAAGTAACATAACATTGACATCATATTATAAGCTAAAACCTAGAGTTATGAATCAAAGTTATGGCTATTGTATAAGGAAATTTTATTTATTCCTATTGTTTATAATTTTTCAGGTTCCACACCAAGTAGAGTTAGAAATAAAAGAAGACTATCACAGAACATTCCAGTTACTATAGAAACCAATACTCAAACCAAAAAAGCAGGTAGATGATCTTCAAGCTTAAAACCATATATTTAGCTATTATAATTGATTGAACATTCGTCAAATTAACCTTTTGACCTAGTCTGCTTTAACCAATCAAATTGATGCCTTCTCCAGTGCTGGCGTTTTGTGACGTGATCAAAAGGTGCATTTTCAGGAGCAATAGTCCTAGTTTATCAGGTCTACTGAAAGTGAAAATAGAAAACATGCCTTTTCATTGGATGTTCGGAATTGACCCAATTAAATTTGATTGGTTTAAGCAAACATCATCAGGTTAGATCAAAAGGTTAATCTAATGAAATTGAACTGCTAAGATTGTCCTTATTATTTCAATTCATTCTTGAACATATCAATGAAAATAATACACTTAATTTAATTCTTGTTATTTCAGCATCTGTTTTAAAGAATTCACCAATAATGGCTCAAAGAGTTCCACGTATTAACATTGAGAATACCTCCAATTCTAATCATTCTATTCAGCTAGATAAACCTAATAGAAACTTACTTCGGGAAATGGAAAATTTACGCTCAGAAAACAAAGAAAATGTCTCAAAACCTCAGCGAGTGAAAAATGACAATGCTAAAAACATTCCTAAAGATGCATCATTACGACGTGCTGTACTTAGTGCTAATGCTTTCCAAAAAGACTCTTCAAACCATAAAGCAACATCTGACAGTGAAATGACTCAATTGAAAACTAAAGACAATGTCAAAATAAACCCAAAATGTGATCCAAAAGGACAAGCTAAAAGTAATTTAACTTCATTTGCAGCAAAAGAAGAACGTGTCATCAAACCCAAACATTCTTACGACATTTCACCCAATACTGTCGAGGATTGCATGACTCCTTATGCTGCACGTGAAGAACGACCAATCAAATCAAAAACTTCTTACGATGTCAGCTCATATCCTGAAGCTTCAGGACCCCTTACTCCATTTGCAGCTAAAGAGGAACGACCCATAAAATGTAGGAAAAATTACGATGAACTGTGTGGAAATTCTGAATCTTTGAATTCAACCTACACAAAACCGGTGACAAACAATGCCAATGATGGCGCCAAAATTGAAAATTCCAAGTCTCAGAGTTCTGACACTCAGTTATGTAATGATACAATAGTACTCTCTAGTCCAGTAGTGTTAAAAGATAATAAAATAAACACAGCTACAGTAGTTAAGACTGCACCTACAGTACATACTGAAACAGTCACTAAAACAGTACCTGAAGTTATTAGCTTACCTAATCAAGAATGTAAGAAAACTGTAGCTAGATCTATTGTTTTTGAAACAACTCCTCCCTCAGATAAAGGTAAGATTTTGTATCATTACAAGTGCACTTGACATATGAGCCTGTTTTTTTGGGGGTTTTTTTTTGGAGGGGGCAGATGTTGAAGGATGAACCAAGCTTAACCCTTACCCCATCTTCACAATGTCAAGCTTGTACGAACTAATAATAGTCACTATTCTTGTACCACCTAATGCAGGGATTGTATGCCAGCAAATGCAGCTAATCAGAGCTGTAAAGATGATGGGTTTTGTGTTCACAGACTTTCTGTCGAGGCCTCTGATTGGCCATACTAGCTAGCGTATAATCCAATTATTTCGCTTTATTCATAAACTTTCTTATACAAGAAAGGTGACTATTGATTGCAGTCAAGGTATAAGTACAAAGTTTGTAATGTCTTGACATTGTGAACATGCCCTTACCCTATCTCATTCCACACCTAATGAATGTGCACCATTGAAAACAGGGGACTTCTGTTTTGGTAACTAAGATTTAGTAAAAAAAATATAAAAATCTTTTCTTTTGCTAGAATCTCCCCATGTATAGTTTATGTGACTAGTCTAAGCATGTCTGATTAGTTGCTGTTTGTGTTGAGCCAAAAGTGAAGGCAGGATATGATGTTAAAGGGACAGTGCGCCATTTTGGGGAGTTGATTTTAGTCTTGAATATATGGAAATAGTCTTCAGAAGTACTTGAAAATCAGATAATTCCTTTCAAATACTTTCAAAACAAGGAATTTTACTCACTATTTCCATATATGTCTTTTCTATGTAGAGTATCTTAAAATGATCATCATTTTAACATTCAAACGCAGATAATTCTGGACACACATGGCTTTGAAGGCTCAAATTTCAAAGGTGACCTGTGAACACTATTACAGGTACTGATTGGCTTACCTAAAAAATTCACATTTTTGAGACTAAAGTATGATTGGTAAAATAAAATGGAGTATCTGTCCCTTTAATAAAACATGATAAAATAAAACTGAGCCTTGCTATATTATATTATTTTGTTATATTATATTATTTTGTCATATTATATTTTGTTTTGTTATATTATATTATTTTGTTTTGTTATATTATATTATTTTGTTATATTTTGTATTGTTATATTATATTTTGTTTTGTTATATTATATTATTTTGTTATATTATATTATTTTGCTATATTATATTATTTTGTTATATTATATTATTTTGTTATATTATATTATTTTATTTTGTTATATTATATTATTTTGTTATATTATATTATTTTGTTTTGTTATATTATTTTGTTTTGTTATATTATATTATTTTGTTATATTTTGTTTTGTTATATTATATTATTTTGTTATATTATATTATTTTGCTATATTATATTATTTTATTTTGTTATATTATATTATTTTGTTATATTATATTATTTTGCTATATTATATTATTTTATTTTGTTATATTATATTATTTTGTTTTGTTATATTATTTTGTTTTGTTGTATTATATTATTTTGTTATATTATATTATATTATTTTGTTATATTATATTATATTATTTTGTTATATTATATTTTGTTTTGTTATATTATATTTTGTTTTGTTATATTATATTATTTTGTTATATTATATTATTTTATTTTGTTATATTATTTTGCTCTATTATATTATTTTGTTATATTATATTATTTTGTTATATTATATTATTTTGTTATATTATTTTATTTTGTTAT